AAATTATGTGCATTGGCTTGTTTGGCTGCACTTTCTACTTGTTCTTGTGTGACATTTTCTAAACCTAAAGCATAGGCAATATTGTACTTGATGGAACCAGAAAAGAGGACAGGTTCCTGACTGACAATTCCAATATTGTGATGGAGCCAGGTTGGATCAAGTTCTTGAATGTCAAATATTGTCTAGAAAGACTTGTCCCTTATTTGGAGTGTAGAAACGTTCTGGATTTTGAAATTTAAAGTTATTATAAAGCTTGTAATTTCAAAGAATTTACATACCTAAAAGACCAACAAGTGTGGATTTTCCAGAACCGCTATATTGTTACAATAAAGTGTTCAGACATTCATTGTTAAAATACAAAGCAACAAGTGTGTAATTCTTACCTTGGTCCTACGAGGGCAACTGTTTGTCCTTCTTAATTTCCAAATTGAAATCTTTCATGACAATGACATTCGATCGAGAAGGATATGAAAATTCCACATTTTCAAAACGAATATTTCCTTCAATATGTTCAATGGTTTTACCTCCACTTAATGGAATGCAGGATCTCTCAACAAGACCTTCAATAAAGTCGTCTACTGGCATAGGCCTTTCCATAGTGTGGGAAAAAGTTGCGGCACAATCATGGCAACCACTCCACAAACATCATTCCAAATACTTTAAGATGGATCCTAAAGTGTACCTCCGTTGGCAGCCTCATGTCCAGAATACCAAAACTTAAAGCAATAGTTCCCCAGACAAACATGGCAGCTGTGTGAAATTTTTAACGATGAGTCACATGATGTTCTTTGAATAACACACTTACCAAATGAAAACCATGGCGTGAACAGTTCCCTTAAATACTCCCTGGTATTAATTTTGTATAAATCTTGATTGAATCTTTCCATTCCTTACTTTCTCCTGCCATGGATCGAATGGTTCTAATGCACGATGTAATTTCATTGGCAACTCCAGCAGAATGTTCAGTGAGTCGATTCACTTGTCTTGTAATCTTGTCGATAAGAGTGACATGATGTATGTGAAACGTAGGTCAATGGAGTGGTCGAAACAAGTATAAGGGTCATTTTCCAATTGTATAATAGCCAGAATAAATCCAACAATGAATTGAATTATTTTTGCATGAAAATGTAAAATTCGTTGTGTAGACGTCTTGAATCTTTGGATATCTTCACTCAACACGACTGTTAAGGCTCCTACTTTCTTAATGTCAAAGAAAGACATTCTTGCCTTGTCAATGCATCATGTAAGCTTGTCTTAACGCAGTTCCAATTCTGTGATTGGAAAGTTGAAGGAAAAAGTGATACAAGCCAAAAGCAGCCATACCACAGAATGTAATAATTGTCAATTTGATGCATACTTGATTAATGGCTTCTGCTCGATATGCAGCGTTTGAGTTTGCAGCAAGAAAGTCGTCAATCAAATCTCCAAGAATATATTGGCAAATAATTGGCAGCACTCCGTACGCCATGGAGCCAATAACTCCCAAAGAGAGTAATGTTAAATTCCACAGTCCAATCACTTTAAAAACTTTCAAATGTGAAAAGAAGGTGATTTTAGGCTCTCTATCGTCTTTGAGAGTTGCAGCACTGGCTGCATTCGATGCTTCTTTTGAGTCACCACCACCATTCATCTCCGTGTCTGTTGCATGCTGAGAATGACGAGTAGATTTTCGTTTCAATGGCATTGCGTGAGAGATGTCGAGTTATTTTGTTTGAGGAATGGTCTGTGAGACTTGAAACTACTCTTTTAAAACTGCTATGAAGAATCACCTGAGGAATGCATCCTAGAATTGTGCGTCGAGCATAATTTCTCCATATTTGTACATTGGTAAACTTTTGACTGCAACGGAATGCATGGCGAACATGGTTCACCAATAACATGGAGTAACCATCGAAGATCTCAGTGGAAGTGCATGGTTTTGCAATCAATTTGTAGAAAAAACGTTTTCCGTACCTACAAATTGATTGTAAAATTTTGTTTTCAGAATCCATGAGAGCATGCATTATCTACACAGTATTTGGTTTTGAATGGCGAAAATCTCATTTGGGTAAAACGAATCTGTTTTTTTTTGTAAACGGGGTTTTGTGTCCAATTCTCCAATATCTACATTGTTTGAACTAAGTATTAAGTTATTGATAAATGTGAATACAACCATTACCGCTGTCACACACTAAAAGCTCTCCGTTTAAGCGATTGAGGCATAAACCTTGAGGATTTCTAAATGTTTTTTCCTTTCGGTTCCCAAAACAGTGTAAAAATTGCAGCGTGGTTTCATTCCTATGTGATGAGTATTGGAAAATTTGAACTCTATCATTCCACGTGTCCGAAACAATGAGTTTTCCAGTAGATTGTTCACAGATAATATTACAAGGCTCAGAAAAAGTGCCTTCCTTCTTGCCGTGCCGACCAACAGTTGCAACACATTGATAGTCTAAGGTGACATAGAATGGGTCACAGTTTCTTAAAATGTGAACACAATCAGTTGGAGTACCATTTGTGAAAATAACATCGCCATTCAGGATACAAATATCTAACGGCTTGACAAGAGGAATATCATGTAGTTTGATTGTTGTAAGCAATTGTCCTGATGACGATTTTACAGCATGTATCCCTTGTTGCATAAAGTCACATATGAAAATAATATTTCTGTTGACAAACGCTTCGTTCATCATAGCAAAGTCATTAAGGTAAAGGACAGCCATTCCTTTTGGTTGA